AAAAACCAGTTTCTGTTTCGTTTTGATCATGAGCATTTTTAAGTCTGGTAAATGTGTTCCTTGTGAATCATCGTACAAGTATTTGTCAATTTCTGTCGGTGAATCAGATGCCGCGCAGCTTGAACGTTTAGATTTCCCTTAAGTCGTTAGCAAAAGCTCAGTATCCGAAGCGAAATGTACGTTATTCTTCAAGGTCAGAATAAACGACATGCGGGGATACGTGTTTTTCTTTAAGTCATTGGCATTTCTGCACTGAAATCGCTATTTTCTTCATTTACTGTGCCAGGGAACAACCGGCTTCTCCAGTGAGAAGACGCTGAATGAATGGAACTAAACGAAAAACGAGCGATAGCAGACCAAGTTTCAACTTGGTTTTGAGTACTGATCAGCTTAGTGATGTGACTCACTCAGCGAATTTGTTTTTATATTGTGGAAGATAGGGTGATACCGTGCTTTTGTATGCTGTTAGATTATAATTAGCAAGCTGGAATATGCGGTTCGTGCGTGGGCATTTAAGCTGACAAACGAACAACAGTGAAACGATTTAACTTCTGCGCAACACAGATGGGTGATCTGTCGGGCAGTTGACTGAATGGCGTTATGGTTTTTCTTAAAAATTTACAAACCTTATTTCAAGCTGGCACTCTACGAAGCCCCCATCAGAGCAAGATTGAAAATAGAAGTCAACAAGACTAGGTCATGCGTTATATTTACGTGATCCCGCTACCTTTTGAAGTCATTGGACCTAGGCCTTAGAATATGTTAAATAGTGTTTGCGTAGAACTGATGATCATTATAGCATTGAAACGACTCTGCGAAATCGGAAGGAGAGCAAAAATGGAAGGAGCACTTCTAGAAGACTGAAAAATTTTCAATTCGGGAAACCGCCATTGTGCTTGAAACGACAAGTTTCCCATCAGCAATTTAATTGAAACTCCATTATTCAACGGTTTATTATACTGGTAGGGCGAAATTTAATGGGCCGATTACTATTATTACATGCAGTTGGACGCTTTATTGCCTCGATCAGCGTAACTCTCCTATATTTTAAAGGCATAAGTGAAACTTTACAAAGGTTACTAAATATACCAGTCTATCTGTGACAGCTCATCTTCTCAACCGAGAATCGACTACGTGAAGTTACCAGAAGAATAAATATAACATGGAGCACTTTCGGGAGATTGCAAATGTTCTTATCCGAGAGACTGCCGTTGTGCTTGAAGAGAAATTATTCGATCCGTGTTTGCTCTCTGCTAATCTGTGGAGCCGAAATGTAGACCCTAAACCTGAATGCTATCCACAAACTGCAGACTACGCAAATCAGCACTACAAGAAATGCTGAGAATAGAAAGAAAATATAGAAAGACGAATGAACGGATAAGAGCACAAACAATAGTGCGTTGTAGTTGTCTGGGTGAAGAAGTCGAAGTGACAAAGGGCAGG